CTACACCATCCGACACCACACTACAAGCGTCTGACAAACAAAGCATCTGACACCATCTTACACCATCTTCACCACCTGACAACCGATGGCTATATTGGGCATATATGGAGTAATGTCAGGACCAAAATGAAGCCTTGACCTACCGTCCTTAAAAGTTGAACGTGTTCTGTTCGTAGTTTGCTGTACATCTGTTTTATTTTATTAAATTTCTCCTCAGCCGGCTTGCCTTGCTCTGCCACTATAATAGAAGATAAGTTATAGAAAACATTATTATTTTCAGGATTGTTGACAGAACAGTGGTTAGGGCGTGTGTCTTTCAGCTCTGTGACCGAGGTTTGATTCCTGTAATATACAGTTGTCTGATTATCATTTCATCTCAGGCACATGTGAGAAGAGTGCTTCCAGTCTGACTCCACCAAACGTCACAGGAGAAGGATACAGCCTACCCAGTGTGAAGGCCTATTTAGAAGCCTATAGGCAATTCCAGCTTTTAGTTTATGCGTGCAGGGGACGATGGGAAGTAAGGTACCACATTGCTGATTATGCTGAAAAAAATAAAAATGGTGGCCGTGTAAGCACGGAATGATAGCTTATACTTGTAAATATTGAAATATTTCGGTTGTTTCGGCAGTTTTTATTGATATTTTCCAGCATAATTGGCAATATGATACCTTACTTCCCATCATCCCCTGCACGCATAAACTAAAAGCTGGAATTGCCTATACTAGATATGAATACAGCCTATATCCAGTATAAAAAAGTTAGTTTAGTTTAGGTTTCCTCCTGTAGTAACAATGGGTCAATAAGAGATGGCTCTTACTGGATTTCTAGGAAGAACAGTTTAGAACTGATACAACTATCCAGTATAAATAAAGTTAGTTTAATTTAGGTTTCCTCCTGTAGTAACACTGGATCAATAAGGGATGACTCTTATTGGACCTCTAGGAAGAACAATTTAGAACTGATAGAGCTATCCAGTATAAAAAAGTTAGTTTAGTTTAGGTTTCCTCCTGCAGTAACACTGGGTCAATAAGAGATGATCCTTACTGGATCCCTAGGAAGAACAGTTTAGAACTGATAGAGCTATCCAGTATAAACGAAGTTAGTTTAGTTTAGGTTTCCTCTTAGTAATACTGGATCAATAAGAGACGATCCTTACTGGACCTCTAGGAAGAACAGTTTAGAACTAATACAGTAATAGAGCTATCCAGTATAAATAAAGTTAGTTTAGTTTAGTTACTACGACACGTACATTTCATTTCTTCCTGGAGTCTTGATTGTAAGTCATTATTTTCTTTTGCCATTTGATCGGCAGTTTCACGTAGCTCCAGCAGCTCTGCCCTAAGCTGAAGGCAAAAAAGAAGCGGAATATAAGACATTCGTCTTATACAAAAGAAAATTGATAAAAACCGAACGATCTATAATCTTAATTTATCAGGATAAATTTTGAACACCCCCATACCTCTGATATTCGTAAGCGTAACGCATCTTCCATTTCTTTTGACTAGAAGGAAAAAACAATTAAAAATATTGACGATAAGCATAATGGCAGAAAGAAATTATAATGTATATTCTTTGTAAGTCTATTGATCTAACATGATTACGGTTGCAGCATGCCTGCAGAATTTTTTATGCGGAGTTGGCGAAGGAAGTTTTGAGTTTTCAGCCAGAAACTCCATGTTCAGATAGCTCCACTGTTTCCGCATGATTTTGAAGTTGGCTTGTCATTTCAGAATTGTTAATTCAACTAACGCCCGTATTCTAAAAGCTCACTCACACTCAATGAGTGGAGGTTCAATTTGAGCTTCAATTGCACGAGTGTCAATGTTATTTTTGAATAGCTGAAGGGTTAATGTCTTACCTTACTATGTGACTACCCTGCAGCTATTCAAAAACAGCATCGACACTCAATAGAAGCTCAGATTGAACCTCCACTCATTGAGTGTGAGTGAGCTTTTATTTATTTATTTATTTATTTATTTATTAACTTTACAACCATACATAAAATAGACTAAAAAACTACATAATATGGTTGAAGGTATGGTCAACAGGACATGAATAGCCCCATATGAAGACCAACCTTAATGAAAACAAACTATAACAAACATAAATCAAAGACGATAACAAATATAAAATTTACAGGAAACATGACGAATTACGAACAACAGCTTAAGTTGAAAGAGCGGCACTTAGAACAGAAGGTTTTCCAAGTGCGCATTCTGTTTACATCGAAAGATGAATGAAGTAGAGAAGAGTAATGAACAGTTAGTCTGTTTTTAAAGGAGGAAACGGATGAACTATTACGAATGGTGGGAGAGAGATTATTCCAGAGAAAGACAATTCGGTTGAAAAAAGAGTTCCTAAAGAGAGAAGTCCTGCAATGATTGACACGAAGCAAGTTGTCCGAACTTGAACGGGTGTGAGACGAGCTGTTTGAAGAAAAAGAATACGGGCGTAAGAATACGGGCGTAAGAATACGGGCTTTTAGAATACGGGCGTAAGTGTTGATGTTTTTAGTGCGGATTTTGAATTTGGAGTTAGCACCTTAGACTCTACAGGTAGTGTTGCTCCATGACCATGGCTCCCCGTCTTCTACACTCCCGGGTTGAAAAATATTTTAACAATTTTACCTTTCGTTCCTCGTTAAAGAGCATTTCCTCCAGACGTTTAATTTGTGCTGTCAGTTGTTCAATCAATTTATCCCTAAATAATAGAACCATGCAATTCAATGGTTAATCACCACAACGCTATTATTTAGAAAGGTTCAGAGTTTCACTTCCGTTCACCTTTGATCTTCGTGAGGGGCGCTGTTCATGCCAAGTAGATCGGTTTGCTTTACCTCAAGTACAAACGAAGAAACACGATTTATTGAGATCACATTATTCATCAACTACATAGATTTTTGTGTGGTCAGAGAAATGCATTGCCTGCTGCAAAGCTTAACCCTAGGTAAACCTAAAATTCAAAGCAAACTTTCCAACAGCTTGTTTATAAATTTAGAAATATTTCTTCAGAAATCTTGCCTGGATCACTAGCAGTTTTTTTCTCAGATTTTTTTGAATAAACAGACGTGCAGAAATACATACTGTACCAACATTGGAAATGTGAACAGTTATGTAAAAAATTATGATTATTGCAAATGAAGAAGGACGATCATCCCCTGCACAAATTATGCTCCCAAAACCTAAGATGAGCGAATGCAGGTATAGCCTACGAAGTGGGCAAAACAATACTGTTTTGTTTGAAAACACAATCAAATGCAGAACTTTAAGATCAGAACAATATTTTACTTTTAAATATTTTTAAATAATTTTCATTTTTGTAAAAATAGATTTAGTAATTTTAATTCAGTGTAAATACTGCAAGGGAGTTTCAATAAACATCAGTTTTTATTATCAACTAAAACAGCAGGTTAAATTACCACCGAGGGTTAACCACCTTTGAACCACCCGCCCCTGCTCTCCAGGCTATACAGAGGGTCTCAATGGGGTTAACTGACTACTGACATTTGCCTGAGTTTTTGACTGACAACTGACAAAATATCCTAACTGACAACCGAGAAATGATGAAAAAATGATGAGTCAGCATTTTGCAGTAACTGACTACTGACAGCTTGCAATATATCGCACTGACAACTGACTACTGGCTTAAATTTTAGCTGACAACTGACACCCAAAGACCCCCATTAAGGCCCTCTATATAGAGTCGCAATACTCACTGGTCGGGGTGGAGGCTCCTCTTCGACACGTTTAACAGGTTTTGGAGCTTCAACAGGTTTTGGCTCTGCACCAACAAATGTTGGAGGTTCCTGTAAAGAAATGAGTTTTCAGTGCAATCATTTACCTCTGCGTGTTCTCAAACTGTTTTAGCGTTGTTGTCACAGGGGTTAGTTGTGCATGCGTCTTTCAGATCAGGGTTCGTTTCATGAAATAAGCCGTTGTCTCATTATCATTTATAAAATAACATGTACATAACGCGTATTCTGATTGGTCGAAACCCGTGTTTGGATCAGGCCATCCAAACACGGAAGGCTATCGTGTTGTTGTTATTTTATAAAACAATTACTTTATGGTTTCCGTGTTTGGATGGAATGATCCAAACACTTGGGAATGTTGCTTGAGTTAAGAAAAGCGGGCAAAATCACTCGCCTTCGGCTCGTGATTTCGCTCGCTTTTCTTAACCCTCGCAACATTCCCGCGTGTTTGGATCAGGCCATCCAAACACGGAAACCATAAAGTAATTGTATATTCCCCTCACTTGCATGTGAGAAGAGTGCTGCCAGTTTGACTCCACTAAACACCACAGGTATTCTCAGGTACTTGCACGTTTCCTCCTGTAGTAACACTGGATCAATAAGAGATGATCCTTACTGGACCTCAAGGTAGAATAGTTTAGAACTGATAGAGCTATCCAGTATAAATAAAGTTAGTTTAGTTTAGGTTTCTTCCTGTAGTAACACTGGATCAATAAGAGATGATCCTTACTGCACCTCAAGGTAGAACAGTTTAGAACTGATAGAGCTATCCAGTATATATAAAGTTAGTTTAGTTTAGGTTTCCTCCTGTAGTTACACTAGATCAATAAGAGATGATCCTTACTGGACCTCAAGGTAGAATAGTTTAGAACTGATAGAGCTATCCAGTATAAATAAAGTTAGTTTAGTTTAGGTTTCTTCCTGTAGTAACACTGGATCAATAAGAGATGATCCTTACTGCACCTCAAGGTAGAACAGTTTAGAACTGATAGAGCTATCCAGTATATATAAAGTTAGTTTAGTTTAGGTTTCCTCCTGTAGTTACACTAGATCAATAAGAGATGATCCTTACTGGACCTCAAGGTAGAATGATGCCTTTCTTCCCATCATCCCCTGCAGGCATAAACTAAAAGCTGGAATTGCCTATTTAGACGTGAACACAGCCTATATGCAGTATAAAAAAGTTAGTTTAGTTTAGGTTTCCTCCTGTAGTAACAATGGGTCAATAAGGGATGGCTCTTACTGGACTTCTAGGAAGAACAGTTTAGAACTGATACAGCTATCCAATATAAATAAAGTTAGTTTAATTTAGGTTTGCTCCTGTAGTAACACTGGATCAATAAGAGATGACACTTACTGGTCCTCTAGGGTAGGTTGACTATGCTAACCCCTACAGCACAAGCTGATTCCAAAAGGGGCGTAGAGAATATTACATTAAAAACTTTATAAATTACAAACATTAAATTACAAACATTACAATGAATATAATAAGGGATGACTCTTACTGGTCCTCTAGGGAGAACAGTTTAAAACTGATAGAGCTATCAAGTATATAAAATAAAGTTAGTTTAGTCTAGGTTTCCTCCTGTAATGCTGGATCAATAAGGGATGATCCTTACTAGGCCTCTAAGGAGAACATTATATAACTGATAGAGTTATCTGGTATTAATATACTTATTTGTCAGGTAAAAGCAAGTTATTTACTACCATACATACGTGAGGTAGTTTGGGCACACTAATTAATGCCATCACATAACTCAAAGCTCCAGCATCGAAGAAGAATTTCTGTAGCCTTCGGAACATTGGATAGAATCTGTTACGATGACCAGTTAGCATGTCATGTGTTAGTTCTAAAAATAAATGTATTCAATTAGCCATTTCCCAATCGAGCAGAGGACTGGGTCTAGTTGATGTTTGGAGGGACGTTTGGAGGGACAACAAGTTATAGTGAGCGAGCTAAATATATATTAAAAGATGCCTTATTATAATTGCTGCGTTTCAGGCAGAACAAATAACTTTAGGAATGTAGGAAAACTTCCTAGATGCCATATTCGGCATATTGTTTATTTTTTGTTCGTCAAAACAAGGGACTAAACCCAGTCACAGAATAGATACTAGACCAGAAGTGTCACTCCTATATGTTTTGGCTTGGGAAAAACGTCCGAAATTTTTTACGTGCTATGACGCCATCTTGGAGTGCACACGGCACTTTGTACCTATGTTTGTACCCATGAAAAACTTCCGTGTGCACTCCAGAATGGCGTCATATGATGGCGTATTTTCACGTCAGCACGTAAAATTTCGGGACGAAATATCGTCACAGAGTAGAGACATACAGAGTTGTAACTAGTGTACCCACTTTTTTTGTGCGCATGCTCGGCATGACGACCTGATGACGACTCATTTTTAAACTTGCTGAGCACGCGCAGTTGATCATTTTTTGCCCGGTCGCCTGAAAAAAAAGTGGGTACATGAAAACGTAATCTTCCGCAGTGTTTATGACGGTCAGTTACGTCTCTGTATGTCTCTACTCTGTGATATCGTCTGAGTGACACTTCTGGTCTAGTGGCTAATAAGAAACATCTGCAGGAATAAATTCAGAGGAAAGTAAATAATAAGGCTTTAAACTTGAGGTTAAACTTAAAGCTGACATCAACTCGAGGCAAACTCAAACTCGCCATTAACTTGAACTTGTGTACACACGTAAAAACGATGTGTTCGCACTGCTTGTTCCCAGCTTGTTGACAATTTGTCAACGGCTTGTAGCCAACTTGCTACAAGGTTGTTGAGCACAACCATAGGCATCCCAAAACGGCGTGTAGAATGTACCAAATGCTTCCAAATGTCAATTTATATTAAGCTACAGAGGAATGGGGCGAGCTTAATATAAATTGACATTTGGAAGCATTTGGTGCATTCTACACGCCGTTTTGGGATGCCTATGGCACAACAGACTTGTTACAAGTTGTTCTAACAACTCTTTATCGTCCTGAAATTCAACAATTTGTCAACAAGTTGTGGGTGACAACCTTGTAGCAACTTGATAAAATAACACCATTGTTACAACTTGTAGACAAGCTTGCTATTTGATTTGCCACCTGCTGGCTACTTTACCAATTTGCAATAGGTTTGCACACAGTGTACTGTATTCTATTTCTATACATTTTCAACCAAATTTCTGTTTTAATTTATTGAATCCATTCCTATCGCCACTTACTTCTGTGTAGTCTGTACATAATTTCAACTGATAAATTATAAAAAGCACTGCATTCCTGAAAAAATAGGAAAGAGATCTGCGTCATAATAAATATTATATATATACTCGCACAGTATTACGTTACTGTAGTTGATGAGTGGACTGGGGACGAGTGTTAAAAAGTGCCCAAATTAAGAAATGGACCAAATCACTAAAACGACCACCTCAAAATTAGTAAGTATACAAAGTTTGAAGACGTTTACATGAATATCCTTCGAATAATAAGCTTTCGAAAATCGTGATATTTACTATGAAATGTATTGTAATTTTTGTTTTTGGGACACAATTTCACAATTTTCGCCGGAAAGCTTATGATTCAAAGGGTATTCATGTAAACGTCTTCAAACTTTGTATACTTACTAATTTTGAGGTGGTCTTTTTAGTGATTTGCTTCATTTCTTAATTTGGGCACTTTTTAACACTCGTCCCCAGTCCACTCATCAACTTCGGAATGGCTGGATATGGAAAGAGTTACACCACAGAATAGAAAATAGACTATTTTCTATTCTGTGGTTACACTAAAGCCAGTTACAGATGAGCAAGTTTATATGACAAGTTTTCAGTTATGATTTATGGCAAGTTTATTTGTCAATACAACAAATTTTCCATGTTATTATTGGCTATTACATTCAATAGATAGCGGACCAACCGCATGCAAGTATTCATTAATTACTTTGCCAAATTTTCTTTGTTGACCCATACAGACGAACAAAATTTGTACTTTGCCAATTTTTTCTATGTCAAGTGCACTCATTCAAAAACTAGCATACTAGCTTTTGGACAAGTGTACTTATCAGACATTCCAACAACTCGAGGTAAAATTTAGGGAGACTGTTCAGTGAGTTGAAATCTTGTTCTTCTGTGAAAAAATTTTAAAAATTAAGTCTTCTGAAATGGCGTTTGCTGCATTTTGGGAAGATGTTGTTAGAAGTGATCCTGTAAATTGCCATAAAGTAACTTCATAAAAAGGTCAAAACAGACTATTATGTTGCTAAAGACAGTTTATGATTTTTTTACGATATTTCCTGAATATTCTGAAAAATCGGGAGAATTTGATAGAAATCGGGAGACCAGGAGATTGTATGAATTTTTGGAGACTCACGGTAAAATCGGGAGAGTTGGAATGTCTGACTTATGAAAATTGGCAAAGTAAATGCATACACATGCATGCAGTCCAGTAAATAAATATGTCAGATGAAAACTTGTGATAGAAACATTCCTCATCTGTAACTGGCTTAAATCATGTTCAAGTTTATAGTACCTGTATTAACATAGGGAAAGGACATATTCTGCACTGCACAGCTTGAATTTGGGAATTTGATTTATACGGATTAAGGCTTTTGGACACTAAAACATATTAAATAAAATTGTACATGAATGAAATAATGTTTCAATTTCCAGCAAAAATGCTACTATGATCATAACAGCCACTAAATTTAAATTTAAAATAATGGAGCAAAATCATTGCTGACCTGCATCAAATAAATCTAAGCAAGCATCCAATTGATCAAATATATCTATTGCTAATTCAAAACTAAAATAAAAAGAAACAAATTATAAAAAGGCATCTAATTCCGACCAAATTAATTGCTGAATGGCTGTTCAAAAGTTTTGTATTCAACATTAAATCACTGTTAAATTATTATTCTCAGCAAACTTTTTACTCGGGATAGAAAAAGCTTTCTTGGAAAGAAAGGGTAACACTTACAAATAATTAGGATCCCTAGTTGGATATTTTATAGCCTCGGATTTATTTGGCTGGATTGTTCCAGGAATATATTCATACTAAAACATAGAAAAAATTATTCCAACACAATAATTAGTATGCAGTGCATTACAATAGAGATTAACACTATAATATTATAAGTAATTCACATTATCCAATTTCAACATTTGTTACCTTAGCATGAAAATCTAATTTCTTCATTATTACTATTATATACAAGTGAGAAAGTTTGCCATAACTTCCTTCTGGTGAATGTTTCTAAAGTGAAATTGACCAAATGTAAATTTATGATATGACATCAGCTTTGAGGAGTAAAATCATCTGGAATTATAGACAGAATGAAACAATAACATTGGGTACATTGCAGCTTAACCCATCGAGTGCCAGCACTTTCCCAGACATAGTACTGTAAAATAATAAAGTAGGGCACATTGGAGCACCAATAATATATAGACACAATTGGACGGATAGTCTGATTAGCCAAGTGCCCGCCAGCACTCTCACCTTGACAAGTAAAATTGTCTGGCATTAGACAGAGTAAAATAATAATGTGAGGCACATTGGGGCACACTGCAACTCAGTGGGTTTACAAAGCCAGTTTTTCCTCAAATGTGCTGTACTTACCCAATAATTACTTAGATCTGCAAATGTCACCTTCTGAGCTGCAGACTCTTTTAAAACCTAGACAATTAAAAAAAGTTGATGATTAATTAATTGTACACCTTGTGTTACTACAGGAGGGAACCTAAACTAAACTAATTTTATTTATTAATGTACAGCTCTAGATCAGTTCTAAACTGTTCTCCCTAGAGGTCCAGTAAGGATCATCTCTTATTGATCCAGTGTTACTAGTAACAGGAGGAAACCTTTTCTATCAGTTCTAAACTGTTCTCCCTAGAGGCCCAGTACAGGTAAGGATCATCTCTTATTGATCCTGTGTTACTAGTAACAGGAGGAAATCTAAACTAAACTAACTTTATTTATACTGGATAGCTCTATCAGTTCTAAACTGTTCTCCCTAGAGGTCCAGTAAGGATCATCTCTTATTGATCCAGTGTTACTAGTAACAGGAGGAAACCTAAACTAACTTTATTTATACTGGATAGCTCTATCAGTTCTAAACTGTTCTCCCTACTAGGTCCAGTAAGGATCATCTCTTATTGATCCAGTGTTACTACAGGAGGGAACCTAAACTAAACTAACTTCATTTATACTGGATAACTCTATCAGTTCTAAACTGTTCTCCCTAGAGGTCCAGTAAGGATCATCTCTTATTGATCCAGTGTTACTAGTAACAGGAGGAAACCTAAACTAAACTAACTTTATTTATACTGGATAGCTCTATCAGTTATAAACTGTTCTCCCTAGAGGTCCAGTAAGGATCATCTCTTATTGATCCAGTGTTACTACAGGAGGGAACCTAAACTAAACAAACTTTATTTACAGTATATTAGCCTGCGTGCGGCAATAGTTCTATCAACTGTTCTAAACTGTTCTCTCTGAGGTGAAGTAGTCAAAGAGGTGAAAGAGACATGCAGTGTTACTATAACGTACCTTGGGGTGTCCCTCCCTAAGCAGTTTATATGTCACTGTCATGGCTTTCCATGACATGATGGCATTGGCCGAGATATGCATCTTACGAAGACACATCCAAAATGTATTGGAACCATTCTCCTGCCATGTACCAATTATTGTACTTGGGGATTGTTAAGGAACATATGCTTTTTAGATTTGGTATGGTGTGGTATTGTGTGGCATGGCATGGTATAGTATGGTATGTTGTTGTTGTAGTGTGGTACACTGTATGGTGTGGTATATGGTATGGTGTGGTATATGGTATATGGTATGGTATATGGTATAGTATGGTGTGGTATGTTGTAGTGTGGTACACTGTATGTAGTATGGTATGGTGGGTATGGTATGGTGGGATATGATATGGTTGATATGGTGTGGTATGGTGATATGTTACATTGGATAATAGATGGTGCAGTATTTATTATTCTTCAAAGGATATTTCTCATATGTTTTTCTTTAACGGCATTTTCAGCAACATTTACAGCCTTGGCTAGACGTTCAGCCTGTCAAGAATAACACTACTATCAATTATAACATTAATTAAATACTACAATAACATTAGCTTCATTTATACTAGAAACGATTTATTTGTTGAAACATAATTTGCTGTAATTAAGTTCTTCAGTTTTGCACCAGAAAATGGCAGTTCCGAACCATCATTATTAAAATTTTCCCGGGGGAGAATGCCATCCGGACCCCTATCTCTAACAGCCCCAGTTTGTCTATGATATATTTATTCGTGTTTATCAATCAAAACTTTTTTGTTTGACAGCCATAACTTTGCTGGGCGTGGTATCAACTAAACTGTTTTGCACGCAAAACTTTCATGTTTATATTGCACAATTGGGCGCGTTTATACTTTACAGCGAGAAAATTGCTGTGGAAAGCAAAATGTCAGATTTATAGCACCTTCGGATTTGTTTCTTTTCCATGATATTAGAAGTGTTCTTTTGAATTTTGATGCTGAAACTCATGCAAAATAACAGGTTAATTGATACAACGACCAAAAAAGTTAGAATATAAAAACAAAAAGTTCTGTTTTAAAATAACTCCGCGAAAGAAACGTTTTGAAACCAGTTATATAAGTTATAAATGCACGCTTCACAGAAGCTCGAAAATGGTAGTATCCTTTGAGCATGGGCGGATTTAGGGGGGGGGGGGG